CTCTCTTCTTTGATTTGCTATCATCAGATTCACTGTCAGATAAAGATTTTCTCTTTGTACCATCTTTCTCTTTACCAGCTTTTTGAGAATTAAGAAATGCTTCAATTAACTCTGGACAATCTAAATTTTCTTCTGGTTCCCAAGTATCGTCAGCATCTGTAAATCCCTTCCACTTCAAGAAATATTCCACCTTCCCATTCACTACGCGTCGGTCCAGTACTTTTTCCACCACAAATTCTTCAGGCTCTGCCTCTTCAACTTTTTTACTCTTTTCATTCTGTTTCTCACCCATTTTTTGCAATGTAGTTTTATTGGAGGCCATTTTTTACTGCAGACTTGAAGAGTTCACTGCTCCGAGCTGCTCCGGGAAGCGAGCCTGCGGCGTCTCCACAAGTATGTCTCTTGAAACGTTATTCCTCCATCTTTCCAAGCAGACCACAGGACTGTACATTGTATTGGAATGTCCTCAGAATGCTCTTTCAGTGATCAGGTAATGGAGTAAAATCCTCAAAGTCCTTTCTTATGGAAGAGGGAAGGCAGAGGGACAGAGAAACTATTCAAACTTCGTCTTCTTTCCTGTGGCTTATGGTCTCCTTCTCCTCTGCCTCCTTGGAAGCCACCTAGTCCTCCAAAGCCTCCTTGGCCTCTGCCACCAAATCCACCTCTGCCTCCTCTGCCTCCACCTCGGCCTCCAAAGCTTCCTCTGCCTCCACCTCAACCCCCAAAGCTGCCTCCACCTTGGCCTCCAAAGCTTCCTCTGCCTCCACCATGATCCCCGAAGCTACCTTCACCCTTAGGCTTGGCCCAGTCCAAGGTAACTTTGTTTCCATCAATTTCACCATGTTCCATGGCTTCCTTGGCAGTTTTGGCATCTTCCTCACTGTTGAAGTCTATAAAACTAAACCCTTTGGAGGATCCTGTTTCCCAGTCAGTGACTATCCTTGCATGAATAGAGCCATCAAAAGACTCCTTTACTATCTCCTTGGAGGTGTTCTCAGACAAACCTTTGAGTTTTAGAGGGCTGACTTCTTGTGTTAGGTGATCCCCTGGGTCCTTGCAACTCCAGCCTGATTATTCTGCCTTCAATTTCCCTTTTATTACAAGAATTTAAACCTTCTTTAGAATCTTTAAATGAAGCAAATTCTATAAATGCACACCCTGTGGATTTACCATTTTGACTCTGAGGCACTTTGATAAAAGTTGCCTTTTCAAATACTTCCTGAAGAGTTTCTTCAGTTGCGTTGTAGGAGAGGTTGCTCAAAACCAGAGTTTTCGATTTACCACTCCAAATGCTATTCTTTCTACCTCTATAGTCTTGATTTTGACCTTTCTCTCCAGTATAGTACAGAGAAATGGGTTGCCTATCATCTCTGTTCCTGCTCTCCTTCAAAGGTTTTTCTCTGCATCAGCTTCTGTCTTAAATTCAATATAAGCAATCCCTTTACTTTTTCCATCTTTGCAGATTATTCTGATCTCCATGGCATCTTCAAGTACTTCTTTTAATTCATCCTGAGTAACTTCGTAGGGAGATTTTTGGCCAAAAGCATTCTTCCATCTCAGTCTTTGTTATTATCTTTTCCTTTTGGTTTCTCTAGTTTAATTTCATTGCCAAAGACTTTTAAACCGGTGAATTCCAAAGCATTTTCCAGATCTTCAGCAGATTCAAAGTCAACATAGCCAAACTTCCTAGATGTAGCGATTCTGACACCCACAACAGCAAGATCATTTTTAGCAAAAACATCACTAGTACCAGGTTTTTTTGGATTTTTTTGTTTCATTTAATTCATCATGAGTGACATTTTAGGGGAGATTGTTGGCCAAAAGTATTCTTGCATCTAGATTTTACTTATTGCCTTTTCCTTTTGGTTTCTCTAGTTCAATTTCATTGTCAAAGACTTTTAAACCAGCAAGTTCCAAAGTTTTTTCTAGATCTTCAACAGAATCAAAGTCAACATAACCAAATTTCCTAGATGTACCAATTCAGACATCCAAAACAGCAAGATCATTTTTAGCAAAAGCACTAATACCAGTTTTTAATTCAGGAAGATATTTGTTATTGTTCATGTTTCCAACAAACAGATGGAAGGATGTAGTTGGTTCTGTGGCTTCCACCTTATGTTTCTTGGCCTCAGAGCTGCTTTCTGTTTAGTCATTTCCTTCTTTCATTTTCCAGGAACTTCTTTGACAGGCTTTCCTTCTTCCTCATCTTCCTCATCCTCATCTTCTTCTTCCTCATCATCCTCATCTTCTTCATCATCCATTTCATCTTCAACTTCAGCCATTCTTGGCTTTCACAGGCACAGCTTTTGCAGAGGTTTTCTTTCCTTTGACTGGTATGGTCTCCATAGCTTCTTCTTCAGACTCATCTTCCTCATCTTCATCTTCCTCCTCTTGCTCATCTTCTTCCTCCTCATCATCCTTATCTTCTCCTCCTCTGAGGCCAGGGAAGCAGCTGCTGCTTTCATCACAGCTGGCTAAATTCATCCTCATCTTTGTCCTCATCCTCAACATCTTCCTCACTGTCATCTTCCTCATCAGTGTCTTCCTTCTTGGCATTCTTGCCATTCTTTGCCTCCTTGGCTGGGGTGGCAGCTCCTTTCTCATCAGGAGTTGCTACCAGTGTTTGTTGGGTGTGGTTCCTTTCTTGCCAGGTGTCGTGACTGCTTGGGCTGGTGTAACGGTCTTCTTGGATGGTATGACAGCTGCCTTTCTGCCTGGAGTGACCGCTGCTTTCTTGGCAGATGTGGCAACTGCAACTTTCTTTGTTGGGGAAACTACCACCTTCTTTGCTGGAGTTGTGGCAGCCTTCTTACCTTTTTCTCTGAGAGATGACAACCTCTTCTCCACTGCTGTCATCTTCTTTATCTTCCAATATTTCCTCATCTTCACTGTCTTCTTTATTTCTTTTTTAATTTTAAACAAGAAGTTCGTTTAAACACTAGATACTTGACTCGAAGGGAAAACTAGCTAGGATTCCTTATTTTTCTTTAAGAGTAATTTAACCCTACTTAAAGACATATTGTCCTACATGTAACAGCTATGTACAAAAAAGTTATAAAATTATCCTTGATTTTATAATGATAATGAAAACCATTAAAATTCCCCAATCAAACAAGGTATGCAAGGATTTTTATGTTGTTTTTTTTTTTCTTTTTGTTTTTGTTAAAACAGTGAGAGCAAAATAACTTACTGGAATAAAAAGATAAGAGCTGAATGAGCTGCCACTAATGGAGAAAAGGGGTATTTTCACAGAACCAGTATTTTCCTCCATCCCATCTCCATTTGATGTCAATCAAAACATACCATTGGCCATTTAGTTTAAAAAATGCAATATGCTTGTGCACATACATCAGTTGCTTCATGAAGAATAAAGGAATGGGAAATGAAAATGAAAGAATAGAGAAAACTATACTGAAGTAGTCAGGATGTGGTGAAACCAAATTGCGGTTTTCTAATTGAGAATGTATTCTTCGTCTGTCAGAACAGAGTTCTCAAGTAAAGTAGCAAGTTCCCTTTTAGTAGACAGCTCCCATCAGCTGTTGGAACACATCCATTGTATCTTCACCCTCCATTTCCAACTGTGCAGGTGTGCCTGTTTTAGTTTCATTGATCAGCTGCCCATCAAATTGGAATCTGACCTGCCTCATTGACAAACCCTGTCATTCACAATAGGCTTTCATCAGTTCACTAAGTGGTGTATGCCTCTTAATCTTAAACTGCACCACAGAATCATCCTACCACAACACCTTCAAATTAATGATAGTTGTTCTCAGTCTTGACTCCTTCCTTGAGCTTTTTGTCTGCCATGGCAGGTGCAGAGGAGTCTCCTCAGCTGCCACTTCACAAAAAAGGTACCCAGGTCCTCACCAGGCATTAAGGCAACACCAGGAGCGGCAGAAGAGGGCGGCGGCGGTGGAGGAGGGAATCATTGTCTTCTTCTACTTCTTATGGAGAAGGAAGGGGTCACCTTGATTTTTACCAGCCTTAGGAGCTTCACCATGATGGCGGCTTATGATGGCCGAGTGTGTAGCGGGCGGGTGGTGCAGGTGAATCTTGAGGAACTCCAGCAACGTTGGTGGCGGTGGGCACTGAAGATCCCGGAGCCCACACGCTAGGCTGCCAGCTAGCGCTCTAGACTCAATAATTGGAGGTATTATTTTTTTAAGAAAGGGATTTTTGGGGACCGGTAGGTGGTGTGGTGGTTAAGCACTGGACTCCCACATGGTCAACTGTGGTTTGAGTCCCAGACCTGGAGGCTTGCTTTCTCACTTTCTCTCTCTCTCTCTCTGGAAATATTAAAATAATAATAATAAATAAAGTTAAATAATTTTTTAAAAAAAGAAAGGACATCTTGTTTAAGGTTATATTTTGCACTTTTACACTGAAAATGAGAAATCTAAGTAGAAGGAATTAAGTCTGCATAATGGTAAGCAGTATGAATAAGGGAAACAGTTGTTTGTTTACCAATCTCAAAATCCTGTGACAGGGAGATGGCAATCTTTGCAACTCATAAGACAAATTCATTAGCCAAAGGATAAGTGTGACAGGAAATATAAATACATTTCAAAGCAATTGAACAAGTTATGACTCACACAGTCTTTCATGACTTTGAAATATATTCAGCTCCTGGATTTAAGATGGCTTTAGAAGGAGCAATAGACATATTTTCTTGACATCCTTGTAGGGAAGAGAATTCAGGTGTGGATGAAGCATCTGTTCAAATATTCTCAAATAGCTCAGAAGTGAGAAAACTTTAAGAATGGCGCCAACGGATGGTGAAATGGTTAAGGTGCTGGACTCCCACATGGCCTACCCCTTTTGAGTCCCCCATGGAGGCTTGAAAATCATGCCAGACACACATGCATGTGTGCCTGAAATCCTGAAAAGAGAATGGAGGAGAAGGGATTGTAGGGTAGCCATCTCCCCCTGGGAAGATTTCTTACTTTCCCTCTTTCTGTTTCTTCCTGTCCCTCTCTGGCAAGTGCAAGTGCCCTATGGCAAAAACCTAAAAGAAAAAAATGTTAAAAAATTTTAGTATAATCAAAACATTACCTCAAGTTCATTCAACACACCATTTTTTATCTTTCTTCTTCTCTATTTCAGACCCAAGTACAATGAAGACAAACTTTCTGTAGTGGCTGCTCCCCTTTGATTGATAGTCAGAGGTCAGGACTCCAGCAGTTCTGATGAATGTATGTAACTTCTTGGTTCATCTCTATTGTTTCATCTTAAATTCTGCAAATGAGATGATGCAGATGAGCAGTACTGCAGTTCCTTCTCATTTGCATTTTATTAGCTTTATGACAGTTTCCTTCTTGCATGATATTACCTAATTACATCCTTCAAAGAAGCACTAACATATCACTCTCCACTTTCAATTATTCACTCCAGCGAAGGGAAGCACAAAACACCACCCTCTCACAGAAAATCCACTCAATACTCCATGGTGTGGCGGAATGGGACCACAATCCCAATCAAGAGTTTCTTCAAGCAAACTTTCTAGCCAGATAATAACACAAATTTCAGAAACATATACATAGGTCCAAAAGATATTACTCAAATTATTGTTCCTGTGATTTACCAAATTTATTCCAAAAACAACTTATTTCAGATAACTGGAATGTTTCCAAAGGTCATCCACTTGCAAAGAATTATGTTTTCCCAGTATTTCAAAGAAAGAGTTGTAGTTCTTAAAACCTTTGAAAAGAAAAGCTTTTCTGGAGGCCAGCAGGTGGCCTGGTGGTTACAGCACTAGACTGTCCCATGGCCAACCACAGTTTGAGTCCTAGACTTAGTGACTTGCTTTCTCTCTTGCTTTCTCTCTCTCTCTCTCTCTCTCTCTCTCTCTCTCTCTCATCTCTTCTGGTGAGTGCATGTGTCCTGTAACAAATTAAAAAATAATAATGATAAATAAAATTAAATAAATAATTCTTTAAAAAAACAAGCAAAAGATAAAATTTCACACTGTTGAAATTGGTGTGTAGCTTCTTAAGGGGTCTGCTACACCTTTTGCAGGTGGATGATCAGCTCCATGCACAATTGTAAAAGTGTCTCTTAGGTGCTCCATTTGTCTTCTTTCACTCTTCTATGTTGAGTGTAGCTTCCCATTAATCCTTGGTACTCATCTCAGGTATCCTATATACTAGACTTCCCTTTTGCTCTATTTCATTTCTACCTTATTCAGTCACTTGAAAAATCACACAAGGTGCATGTGCATGCATACCCAAAATCCCAGGAAGAGAAGGGATTGAGGTATGGTCATCCCCTATTGGGGGTAATTTTCATTTTCTTCTCACTGTTTCTCTCTGTGCCTCTCTGATGAGTACACTTGCCCTATGGCAAAAATAAATAAATAAATACAAGGGGCCAGCAGATGGCATAATAGTTACACCACTGGACTCCCGCATAGTTGACTGCGGTTTGAGTTCCAGACCCAGTGTCTTAAAACTCACACAACACGTGTGTGTGTATGCATGCCCAAAATCCCAAGAGGAGAATGGAGAAGGGACTGTGGCATGACCATCAGGATGATTTCTTGCTTTCTGTCTGTCTGATTCTGTCTGTCTCTCTGGCAACCACACGTGTCTATGGCAAAAAATCTCTCTTTTTTAAAAAATAACTATTTTTATTTATTTATTCATTCATTTATTTTACTATGACCAGAGAGAGACAGAGAGAGAGAGATAAAGTGAGAAAGCAAGCCACCAGGTCTGGGACTCGAACCATGGTAGGCTATGTGGGAGTGTCCAGTGCCTTAGCTACCACACCACCTGTTGCTTCCACAAAAAATCTCTTGAAAAAAATTAAAAAGCTTTATCTGTTTTCTTTATAGGATTTGTGTAGGCTACAAATGTTAAATCCATATACTTCATGATGTGATAGCTTGTCATGTTCCTTTCTTCTTTAATATTTTACAATCTTTTCATGAAAAAAAGAAATTGCTCATTTTTCTTGTCTTTTATTTGTTCCAGGTTCTATAGTCTCTAAGAGGACCATATTTAATTTCCAATTCCCTTTTTTGTTGTTGACCAATATTTTGTTGAAAAAATTCAAAGTACAATGAATGAGTCTTTAAAGAATAACTCCCAGTTGCTCCCAGAAATGTTTCTTAGACCGCACCTAATACCATTCATAGAGAGTAATAAACTACTGCTTTACCTACACATTGGCAAGAACCTGTTAGATATTCCTGCAGTCTATCTGATTTACTGATTCTTCCCTTCCTGATAAAGTTTCATGCCATTCTCAGACTTAGGGACTTAATTATGCACCATTCATTGTGTCGTAAAAGAAATCTAGAGATCTTAAATAAGATCAGCCCAAACACAGGTCCTTGACATTTCCGCAATCAATCTTCTCCACTCTGAGTATTCCTGTGCCTGTTCCTTGACAATCACAAGGGCCAACAATTCCAAAGTAGTCTGAATTTTAATAATCTTTGATATAAAACTTTTCTAAGGTGATTTTAGAATTGGAGTAGTTTCCATTGTCCAAATTGCCAGGGACATACTATATGAACAGAAACTATATTTCTGTTCACTGAATCGTGGTTCTCTCTCTCTCTCTCACTACTCTCCTCATTCCCTGCTCAGAGAACAATAAGTTAGTAAGACCACTAATGGTTTTGTTCTGCAGAAAACATATTGCTCTTGCCCCAATAGGCTACTTTTGTAGAGGTGTTGAAAAATTAAGATATACTAACCATCTTGTTTTAGCATGGAAAGGAAACAGAGACTCACAATATATTGAACTCCCACTACAGATCTTCTAAATGAAAATTATAGGTGTAATTCTCTAAACTCCAAACACACTGCTTAATACAGCAAATTACAGAAGTGATCTAGAAGTTCTCCAATTTCCTCTCTTCATATTCTATAAAAAACCTGCGTTAGAAATTTACTATTACTTTTTCTGCCAATTTTCTATAGAATACTTAATTACTGGATCAGCCAGTGGCATGATGGTTCAAGCAGTTGGATTCCACATGGGAAACCGTGTAGCTTGAGTCCTGAACCCAGTGGCCTGAAAAACGTGGGAGGATTGTGCATACATGCCAAAAATTCTAAGAGGAAAATGATAAGGAATTGCATCATGGCCATCTCCCCCGGGAGAACAGGGGCTTTCTCAATTTCTCTCTTCTCTCTCTCTCTCTCTCTCTTTCTGTCTCTCTCTCTTTCTCTCTGGCAAATGCATGCACCTCTAGCAAAAAAAAAAAAAAAAAGAAAAGATGTATACTTAATTGCTGACTGCTTTCTGGAACTCCTAAGGAAACATTGGGCAGACTTGATGAAATAAAGATTGCAGAAAAAGACTAGAGACCCAAGTTTTCAGGCAACAGAAATATATTCTGTTTTTTTAAATAATTATTTTAACTTTATTTATTATTATTTTCCAGTTTGACCAGAGAGAGACAGAGAGAAAGAGAGAGAGAAAAAGTGAGAAAGGAAGCCACCAAGTCTGGGACTTGAACCATGGTCTGCCATGTGGGAGTCCAGTGCCTTTAACCGGCACACCACCTGCCCCCACTCCCTGTTTTTTAAAAAGAATTATTTCATTTAACTTTATTTATTTATTTAAATTTGACCACAGGGGAACAGAATGAGAGAGGGAAAGTGAGAAAGCAAGCTCTCAGATCTGGCACTCAAACCGCAGTTGGCCATGTGGGAGTCCAGTGCCCTTAACCACTACGTTATCTGCCGGCCCCAACACAAGTATATTCTAACAATGACTTTCCTGAGAAGAGCTTTGAACGTGGGTCTCCGATCCCTTAGGAATGTTTGGGCCTAACATACGTAGGTTGCTGAGGAAGATATGTAGTGGACGTGGTGCATTTCAAATCATACGGCGTAGATAAATGCCTTCTCTGTTCCCCTATTAGGCAAGTACTATGTGCTATGCCCTGCCTAAGCTGTGAGTAGTTCGTTTGGGCCCAGTACTTTCCTGCAAATTTATGTTATTCTGTGTAAATTGGTTATTTCCTCTAGTGATTCTTCTCTGTCTGATTTTTTTCTCTGTCCCTGAACACTAAGGTGTTCATTCCGTGGTAAGAACGTTTTTTACTTTATGTGTAT